AGGCTGAAGGCAGGATTGTACTTTCCGGTCCCCCTGTGGTAGGGTAAATCATGTGACTAGCTCTGGCCAGTGAGCTGTGAGTAAAAGTGGTACGTACGGGTCACTCTGGGCCTGTGTACTGAACAGCAGGTGTGAGACCTTCCAGAGTTCCCCTCTACCCCTCTGGATGTCTGAGGTGGTGGCTGCTCCGTCAGCCTGGGTCCCAGGTTGAGGAGGCACACAGCAGTGAACTCCGTGCAGTTAGAGAGAAAACCTGTGACGATAAGCCACAGCAGAACCTATCCGATCCTGACCAACAGAGGAAAGCTTCTGATTTGGCATTTAATCAGCCCACTTACCAAAAAGAAGCCTTCCTAATGGACAGCTCTCAGTTTCCCAGGAATATAAACAGAACTACCCTTCAGATCCGACCCTCTTTGAGAAAGATCTTCATTTTTATTTTTATATTTTAAAAAATATATATATTTTATCGATTTTTTTTACAGAGAGGAAGAGAGAGGGATAGAGAGTCAGAAACATTGATGAGAGAAAATCATCGATCAGCCACCTCCTGCACCCCCCACTGGGGATGTGCCTGCAACCAAGGTACATGCCCTTGACAGGAATCAATCCTGGGATCCTTCAGTCCACATGCCAGACACTCTATCTACTGAGCCAAACCGGTTTCTGCAGATCTTCCTTTTTAAATGGTAATCATGAAGTTCCTCTGCCTTGAATCTAGACCAGGTGGGAGGCCCACTCCTTCCAACCCCTCCATGTGTGGACTGAGAAGCCAGCTCCTGCTTTGTGTCCATGGTCCTTGGGACCAAGAGGCATCAGGGGCACTGAGCCTTACTCTTTTAATTTTTAGTGGAAACTGTTCCTGCCATGGCTGATCATGGTAGGTAGCAAAGTAACCCTGTCAACATGGGGAAGTAAATCCAATAGAAACTTCTGCCAGAGATCTGGGGTTGGCCACAGGGTCCAGGCAGGGCCTGCAGGGGATGTGCAGGAGGGAGTGTCGAAGCTGGACGGAGGTGGACTGTAGCTTGAGATGGAGCCAACAGCCCATGCCTGATACTCTGGGGTCAGCCCTGGGAGGCGGGGTGTGGTCAGACACAGCTGGATCATGCTGGCTGGCAGGCGCATGCCAGGGCTGGCGAGGGGAGGGGCTGGGCAGCAGCTGGTAGGCTGGTAGGCAGGGGATGCTCAGGGCACATCTCTAATGAGTCAGTTGCAACTCTGAGATTGTAAGGGATATTTCACAGCGAGGGCCAGGAATCTCCGGGGGCGGGGCCTTTGCTTTCTAGGCGTGCATATTTGAGTGTGGGGGTGTCCTCTCAGAGCAAGGGTCGGGAACCTTTTTCCTGCCGAGGGCCATGTGGGTATTTATAACATCATCCGCAGGCCAAACAAAATTATCGACTTAAAAATTAGCCTGCTCTATTTGGTCAAACATTTAATTAACTGACCCCTGATGTCTTGGCAGGGCCAGACCAAATGACTTTGCGGGTCTTATACGGATGTTCCCCACCCCGTCCTAGGGTATGGAGACAGGGAAGTGGTAAGTGGTGGGTGAAGCCAATAGTGAGCAAGGGAAGGAGGTCTCAGCTGAGAAAGGGCACGAGGGAGGCGGAGTCACGCAGGGAGTCCTGACAGCTAGATCCCAGCAGGCAGGCCAGGAAGAGACTGGGGGTTGGACTGGGGGGAGGGGGGAGGTAAGGAGTAGCTGTGGAAAATAGGCCTGAGAGGAGAATCTGACACACTGACACAGTTTATCCCTGGTTGGATTTGTTTAACTTAAATGCTTAAAATGGCTGCTTAGCATTCCACCTGCACCATACAGACCCAGCTAGCCGCAAGCAGGCCATGGGCCCAGAGCCACAGCGAGCGATAGCTCAGAGCCTAGCAAGCCGGCTGGGCCTGTGTCTTGTGCTCTGGGAGGGCCGAGTGACCCTCTGGCTGGCTGGGGGTCTCGGCAGCCACCCAACTTGAGGCCACCTGCATCACCCCCACTGCTAGACAGAAGGTGGACAGGGTGTCTGGTAAAGCTTTGCAAAGAAAATGAACAGAACAGAGGTCAGCATCAATGAGAAACCAGTCTGTACAGTTTTAATCAGATTTGCTTTAAGAAATAGGCCCGACAGGAAGCTTAAGCTGCTTGGTCCTCATCTGTCTCTCCTCCTTCTTGTCCCCTTCTTGCACTTGAGACTGCTGCTTCTCAGAGCCCCTCGTCCCCTCCTCCCGTGCACATCCCTTAGGAGCTGGGCCTTCCCTTTTTTCTTCTCTCTTCTATTTTCCCCTTTGAGTCACCTGTTTCCAGATGACAGCCAGCCCAGGTGTCTCTCCTAACCTCTGACCTCATGGACAGCTCTTCATCTCCCCCTACAAGTTCAGTCTTCCTCTTCCACTTCTCCAACATCTGCTCTGTCTCCAGAGCAGTCCTCCATTCCCCGCCTCCTCTCACCAGCCCACTGTTCTGCCTCCCTCACCCCTTGTCCCCATCCCCTGGGCCTGCCATGCCCACGCCCAGCCTCACCCTCCCGCCTAGACACCGCAGCCGCCGCCATCTGGTCTCTCTGAGCCGGCCTCCCCATCTGGAAGCTGGTTGGATCTTTCTATGCTCCACGTCGGACTACGTTGCTCCCCTGTTAAACTCTTCAGCGGCCCCAGTGGCCCCCAGGAAGATGCACGAGGTGGAAAAGAAAGGGTAGGAAAGGGCAGGCGAGGTCCAGCAGCCTGCTGGCTCTGCTCCTCTCCTGCTTCTGGAGCCCTGACCTGCACAGTTCCCACCATGCCCTGTTAGTCTCCCATGCCTTTGCTGGGGCTGTTCCCTCACCGTCCGCATCTGTGTGAAGGGATAAGGCCTCCGCAGAAGGGTTTAAGGTTTGGAAGTCACAGTGATGGCATCTTCGCCAAACCCTACCAGCCCCCTACTCTATGGCCCCAGGGATGACTAGGGGGCCGTGGCGTAAGCAGGCCATTTCTCTCAGGACAAAGGGCAGGTTTTTTTTTTTTTTAATTTTAATATATTTTATTGATTTTACACAGAGAGGAATTGAGAGGGATAGAGAGTAAGAAATGTTGATAAGAGAGGAACATCGACCAGCTGCCTCCTGCACAGCCCCCACTGGGGATGTGCCCACAACCAAGGCACGTGCCCTTGACCGGGATCAAACCCAGGACCCCTCAGTCCACAGGCCGACGCTCTATCCACTGAGCCAAACCGGTTTCGGCCAGAGGGCAGTTTTCATGCATTATTATGTTTGTTGTCTGCACACCAGAAAGATGACCAGCCCCTCATACCGTCAGATCTACCCAGCTAGAAACAGGACTGTGGGAAAGAAGGCTCCAGCAATGTTGGTCTATTTCTTCCCTCACAACTCAAGGAGGGACAGCCTATGTGTGGCCCTGTGGGGCGTCCCTGCAGAATCAGGGGCTCTGCCCACATGGCGAACACCAGCAGCCCTGGAGCCTGGGGAGGAGGGGCTGAGGTGCTCACCCAATCTCTCCAACCTCCAGTCCTAGGAAAGTCAAGATCTGAGTTCTAATTCTGTGTCCCCTTGCAGGTACTCCAGCGTTCCATCCCGTCACCTGGTCCTAGCTGTGTGTTGTGCACATAACAGGAACCCAGATGACTGACTGTCAAGTGTCAGCCCTGCCCCCACAAACCTAGAGTCCAGCTTTCTGGGCACCAGCGGCCAGCTCAGGACCTCAGACTCATTTCCCCCCTCCTTTCCTTTCTCCGTCCCTGTGAGGTGGGGCACAGCCATGAGGCAGTTCATGGCAAGGACACGAGGAAGACTGGAAATGAGCATCAGACAAGCGGAACCAACAGATCCATTTCTCGGGGACATCTGAGCAGATGTCACACAGCACACACCTCCCAGAACATGCTCTCCACACCGAGGGTGCATCTGCCCTGGACAAACCACGCGGGTCCTGCTGGCCCCTCTTACAGATGAGAAAACGGACTCAGAGAAGTAAACAGCAGGTCACCTGACTCAAGTTTCCTTTTCCTCCCTACCTTTCTCAGCAAGGCCGAAGACGCACGGTAGGCAAACGTATTCAAAATATATAGATGAGCGCTGTCCGGAACCAAGGCCCCCAACCCAGGAAAAGTTCCCAGGGAACAGTGCGCAAGTCCCTGCGCCATCTCCCTCCTTCTGCTCGTTCTTCCCCCTCAAGCTCCACAGAACAAGATCCTCACCTCTTTTCCCCAGCCCCCTGAGGGTCACATTTGTCACCCCCTCTCCCTGAGGCCTTAGCGAAGACCCCCATCATCTTCCCCCCTCCCTGTAGACTGCCAGCCTCACCCACCTCCTCTTCTGTTTTCCTTCTGGTCCTTATCACATTGGGCCCACAAAAATCTCTACCCCCAGCCTGAAAACCCCCCAAAACATTTAATCTGCCAGCATTTGGGAGGGGGAAGGTTCTTATCATTGGACTGAGGTTCCCCCGTGACTGGGGGTCACTGAGTTGCTAAGTTTCTGCTTTTATTTCTGAGAATGGCCCAGAAGTTTGACTTATTGATGGCTTCAAAAGTAGAATTACCAGGTAAACGTTAAAGCCTCTGATTCATATTGCCAAACCGCTTCCCACCCAACTCGTTTGAGAGTGTCTGGTTCACAGCATCCTTATCAGCTCTGGCTTTTAGCATTAAGATAAAATTTAAGCGTTTATTGGGTACTGATATCTGGTTCCGCTTTACTGGATACTTAAATTGTTTTCCTTCATTTTTGTGAAATGCTGCCTCAATACTTTTTTTTTTTTTTTAACATATTGCAGGAGTTTGTATTTCCTCCATCTTGGGGTGTATCAGACAGACCCTCTCTGTGGGCATTGTACCCCGCAGGAGGCCTGCTTCGGAATAGGACCAGACTGCCTGCCCGATTGCTTAGCCCAGAGCTGTGTTGTCAGACGTTCTAACTGAGCAGCAGAACCCTCTCTGAAGCAATCTCACACAGCACCGCTGAAGTAAAACATTAACAAGCAGCCTTTTCCAGGAGCCCCCGTCTTACCCGAGGCTGGGCCGATGGGACCTCCTTTTCCTTCTGTCTGAAGAGCGGGCGTCACTGTGGGGTCAAGGACCTGCAAGGAGACGAGGAGCGGTTTATAGAGGCGGCTGGAACGCAACCCGCAGCAGAGCAGCCCAGCACAGGTGAGCCGGGTCCAAGGGCCCAGGGGCCCCACCCGGGCCGCGGGAGGCCCTGCCGCACCCTCCATGTCGCCGAGGAGAGGGTGTGGACTTAGTGCAGCCAGAGAGGGTGGGAACGGAGGAGGTCTGTGTGACACACTCGGACAGGCCGGGCAGCGGGTGGAGGTGTGCGGGGTGGGGGAGGGGAGATGCAAATTCCGAGCTCCTGCTGCCCTGGACCTGAGTTTGATCTGACAGGTGAGGCCAGAACTACCAGCGCGGCTAGGGGATACCTGGCGTGGGGGAGCATCGAGCCCAGGCCCAGGGGCAGGAACAGTGGTTACCAGGCCTGGACAGGGTGGGGTGGGGGAGGAGGCCTGTGGGGAGGAAGAACTAGGGGGGTTGGCAGCAGATAAGGGAGGGGAAGTACACAGGACGAAGGGCTCGGCAGAGGCGGGGTGGCGGGGCAGGCTGCTATCGGCTTCCTGCATCGCTTACAGACTCTGACTGAGATCTGCTGCCCGAGTCACCGGTGCCCCACAGGGTGGAGGGGGCTCCTAGGCGGGTGCTGCTGTCTGGTCTGCCCCATCCTTCTAGCTGGGTCCCTGGCCTCAGGTGTTGGCCCTGCCCCCTGGCCCCAGGCAGCCCTCTGAGCTCACCCTTTGGCTTCAGATAAACAATCCAGGCTCTTTGGTCCGGTCCTAAGTCCAGACCCCAGCTTTCCAGCCCATCTTAGCTCCTGGCCCTGGTCCCTGGATTCGGGCCCCCATCGGGCGAGGGCTCCCGGGCAGCGCTCCTTGGCTCTCCACCTTCCCCAGCCAGTGCCGCTGCCTGCCCACGGCCCTCTAACCACCCCCCATCTCAGGAGGGAGACTGATCCCACCAGCACCGCAAGTCCCCACTGGACCATTCCCTGTTCTGTAAAGTCACCCAGACTAAGTGCTTCAGAAGAATCTGAAGCCGGAGTCCCAGGACCTCTGCCCCCAAGCCAGAGCTGTTTGCAGAATGACTGGAGGGAGTGACTCCCCGCTTGGCAAACAGTGGGTGCCCTCCTGACTAGGAATCCACATAGAAAAGCTCCAGGGACACGTGGGTTCCAGCCATGAATGGCGTTGGGCGAGTTATTTAACCCGTGGGTCTCAGATGCCCCCTCCTCTGTAATACTGAATGGCCACGGCCAGGACCAAGTGAGCCTGGGCACTTGGTGCTGCCAGATGAGGGCGGGAAGAGGGAAGTCGGAGCTCCTAGGACCTAGCTCCACCTGAGGTGACCTGTGTTCCCCTCCGGGCCCTTGCTTCAATGGGGGCACCTTGGCTTATTTCCTCTGAGCTAAGCATCTGGTAGGCATTTCTCCCACCCACAGCATGGGGAGCCCAGCCTCCTGAGAGGTCAGAGGGTAGCTGCTGTCCTGGCCTCCAGGGGAGGTCCTGTCCCTGGGACATCAGCCAGGGTTACAACCTGCAGGAACCTCTGTCCTTCACCCTCTTGCTGGGCTCACCTGGCCCCAGACCGCAGGCTGGCAGGCCCCTGGCAAGAGGCAGGCCTCTCCTGAGCCATCCGGCCTGGGTGACTCAGCTCTGCTGCCCTCTACTCGCTCCTCCCCTCTTAGTGGGACCGTGTCAGGGACATTCCCTCCACTGTCCCCCAAACCAGCTGTACAGCCTCTCTCCCTCACCAAACTCCACTGGAAAACATCCCCTGTGTGTTTTTTAAAATTAGAATCAAATGGCAGGAACTAACTATTTAGGGAGGGTTTCCTGAGGGGAAATGGAATCTCCACAACCTTAACATTACAGGACCTTTTTTTTTTTTTTTTTAAAGAAAAGAAAACCATGTCAGATCGTTGATACTCTGAGCCAGACCTTGGTTTGAGATGTGCTCTCCTCTGCCCTTTCACAAACTACAGCCTTTCCCCATTTTTGAAAATAAGATCACATCAAGTCAGGGATGAGAAATGGGAAGAATTCCTCCAGAGCCTCCCTCTGCCGGCTGCACATCTCGGTCCCCTCCCAGGTAAGCAGCATCGGCTCCTGCTACCCCCCCAGCTCAGCAGCATCATTCAAAACGCACCGGCAGGAACTGGCGAGACAGACGGGCCTCTCATCCCGGGCGGCTCTGCTCTCCTGCTCTGGGAGCCGGCGGCCTCGGGGCCTCTCGCTTAAGTAGGCGGCGGGAGAGGGGCCGGGAGGCCCGAGGGGGCGGGCACGGAAAGTGGGCCGTGTACCCAGCACAGCGAGGCAGTGTCCACAGAGCCAGCTGTGGCCTGCACACGCGCCCGCCTGCCTGTCCAGCAGGGGCCTCCAGCCCACAGGCCCCTGGACCACAGACCGGCACCTGGGCTGACCCCCGATGGACGTGCAGCTCCGAGCGAGTCCCTGTCCCCGGACACAAAGAGCCGGGCGGCGTTCCTGGACGCCGGCGCGGCAGAAACGGCCGTGGGGCCGGACCCGGCTGCTCCCTGGGCCAGCACGTTTTGGCGTCAGGCCAGGCGTGTCTCCAAGCCTCAGTTTCTACGTTCTTTTTTTTTTTTTTTTTTTTTTTTTTTAATATATTTTATTGATTTTGTACAGAGAGGAAGGGAGAGAGATAGAGAGTTAGAAACATCGATGAGAGAGAGTGTCATCGATCAGCTGCCTCTTGCACACCCCCTACTGGGGATGTGCCCGCAACCAAGGTACATGCCCCTGACCGGAATCGAACCCGGGACCCTTCAGTCCCCAAGCCGACGTTCTATCCATTGAGCCAAACCGGTTTCGGCAGTTTCTACATTCTTGAAATAAGGATAAATCACACAGACTTTTCTGGGTCTGGAAATGATGCTGGCAAAGGGCCTGGCACCTCCGAGGATGATTTATCGGCATGCTGGTGCGGGGGCCAGCTGCCTTCCGCAAGAGTTCAAGCCCAGAGAGGTCTGGGAACACTCGCAGCCACACAGCCCTCCAGCTGAGGTCGGGGTCAGACTTCATGCAGATCTCAGACTAGGCTGGGCTGGCAGAAGTCCCTTGAGGTGAGGGTGTGGAGCAGCTGCTGGCATTGGGGAAAGGTGTTTTGTTTTTTAAAAAATATATATATTTTATTGATTTTTTTTTTTTACAGAGAGGAAGGGAGAGGGATACCTCCAAATGGGCCGTGATACCATTTCACAGTTAGAAACAGCGATGAGAGATAAACATCGATCAGCTGCCTCCTGCACACTCCTTACTGGGGATGTGCCCGCAACCAAGGTACAGGCCCTTGGAATCGAACCCGGGAACCTTGAGTCCACAGACTGACGCTCTATTCACTGAGCCAAACCGGCGAGGGCAGGGAAAGGTCTTGACTGAACTCTGGTGAAGGAGTTGGCTCTTGACCTCCAAGGTAAGAGAAGAAGCATGGTCAGGGATGCCCAGATGGATGTGTGCATTTGGTTACGACCTTAGCTGGGGTGAAGAAATACTCCAGAGTAACTGGTAGGGATTGGCTGGTGAGAGGAGCTCTGCCACCAGCACCCCCTCCCCCATTCATATGTTGAAGCCCCAGCCCCCAGGGAGGCTGTATTTGGAGATGGGGCTGCTGATGAAGAAATTAAGGTTAAATGAGGTCATGAAGGAGGAGCCTTAATTTAATAGGGTTAGTATCCTTATAAGAAAGACATCAGAGTGCCCTCGCTGGTTTTTGCTCAGCGGATAGAGTGTCAGCCTGTAGACTGAAGGGTTCCAGGTTGGAATCCAGCCAAGGGCACATGCCTGGATTGCGGGCTTGATCCCCAGTAGGGGGTGTGCAGGAGGCAGCCGATCAATGATTCTCTCTCATCATTGATGTGTTTTTCTCTCTCTCTTCCTTTCTGAAATCCATCATCAGAGAGCTCCCACCTCCTCACACACCCATGGAGGAAAGGCCACGTGAAGACTGCAAGCCAGAAAGATCTCACCAGAAACCAAATCAGAAGGTCAGAAGCTTGATCTTCGACTTCTAGCCTCCAGAACTGTAAGAACGTAAATTCCTGCTGTTTAAGCCACCCAGCCTGCGGTTCTCTTTATGGCAGCCCTAGCACACTAATGCAGATGGACGAGACCGAGAGGTGTTTGAGGAGCATGGAAAGGACTGGGATGAAGTTAGAGGTCTCCAGCTCATGAGACTGTATGGGCACTGGAGTTGCTCACTAACCAGGAGTGAGGTGAGGGAAGGCAGGTGGTGAGGGATATTTGCATAAGATGTGACCATGTGACCGTGGGATAGTCAGGCCTAGAACTCAGAGGAGATCTGGGCTGGGTCAAGATGTGGGGATTATTAGAGCGTAGGTGAAGTCTTAGGAGTGATTACATTTCAGATCACGTATTATTCTTTCTTTTTCAATTGGTTCATTCTAATTCCAGTGTCATGTGATATCAGCTTTTGTCTTTTACATTTTTATAAAAAGTCAGACATTCTCCTTTGTTTTTAGAAAGTGTAACTGTGCACAAATTCACCCCAATTTTTAAATGACTTAGTTTTCTTCTACTTGTTCAGAGCGAGTCTTGTTTAGGAGCATAACTGATGTGTGGTTAGAATTGCACATTTTTTCCCTGGGGTTCATCTTGTCTTCGCTATTTATGATGCCAATTCTCTTGTCATTTTATCCAATTTAAAAATAATGCCCTAGCTGGTTGCTCAGTGGTTAGAGCATCAGCCAGTGGAGTAAGGGTCATGGGTTCACTTCTGGTCAAGGGTAAGTACCTCAGTGACAGGCTCAATCCCCAGCAATAATGGATGTGTCTCTCTCACATTGATGTTTCTCTTTCTCTGTGTCTCCCCCTTTCTTCCACTCTCTTTAAAAATCAATGGGAAAAAAATCCTTGGGTGGGTGAGGATGAACAAACAAACAAAAACAAAAAACAAAATAAGAGATCTCCCTTTACTTCAGCTTGCCAGATAACTTATCATTCAGAATTTTTGCAAATGCTTACCTCTTTCCCTTAGAGTTAAACTTGAAAGG